GAGAATTCAGGTTAAATGGGTCTTTGGGATTCCTGTAAATAGGAATGTCTATTAAGTTGAAACCTGGAAGGAATAATTACATCACTACTTCCCTGTCCATAATAGCAGTGAACATCCCAGTTGCACTTTGCAATTCTATGTATAGCTTATACATATAACTATCAATATAACTATAATCTACAACTCAATGTATAGCTTACAAATCATTTTGCAACTCTATTATCTTCTCTGAGTTTTGCAGAAACCTTTATGATTTGTTACTGTTCTTCAAGGAAGAACTTGGAATCTAAGGCTCCTCCTTCTCTCAGTTTGAGCCTGGGGAGAGATACTCCAAAGTTCAGCATCAGAATCATTACTGAGATGTTAATGGGAGGGGAGTGAGCTTTTTGATGACTCTGAAATATAGAGGTTAATATAATATTAACAGCAATTACTTATTGTGCATTTGTTGTATGCTATTTGCTAGTATATGTTGAATATTTCTCTACCCTCCCTTTTTAATCTATTTTAGGTTTGCTTTATATTCTAATAAATGCTGTAAATTTATCTGGAATTCTTGCTTTTATATTTTCCTTTTGAAACAATGGAGGTGATGGTGGTGGTGGTAGGCAAACAATTAACCAAAATGTAAATTTTCATTTAGTCCTAGATGATTCCAGGACTAAAGGAATTTGCAGGTTACTACTTGTGTATCCTTATCAGAAACTCTGGCTCGTAACACACAGTATGGACATTTCCAGGGATGAAACTCATGAAATTCTGATTCAAATCGTTCACATTTGTATACATGAAAATAAGTACGATCCAAGTTCAATTTGGGAATACTTAGCTCTTTAGTAATTTGAAATTAGATGAGCAGCCCCTCTCTATTTATCTTGGTTGGGAAGTCCTCAAAATTTACCTTAGATCAGAGTTGGCCAAATTTTTTGGCAAATCACCATAGAGCAAACATTGCAGTCTTTGTAGGCCATACAACCTCTGTCTCAACAATTCAGCCCTGAACTTTGGAGTGCAAGCTACAAGAACAGGTCAGCAGTTCTCTCTGGCCCTTAGTGTATATAGTTTGCTGGACCACTGACCTAGATCCTCAGGGTCACTCTTCATTCTTAGGTTAGGTTATCGTGAATCATCTGGGTTTGTAGCTATTCACTAGTTATGGATTAGGGAACATGGGCCTTCCCTTCCCTCCACCCTCTCCTTTCCACCTGAACCCAGAAACCTTACTTTGTACATGCAAATGGCCCATCAGATTATTTTCCTAAACAAAGGCATTTCTCTCAGAAAAGGAATGCTGCCCCTACTGTTAAAGTACCACAGATGGTGCTTTTAATTCAGAACCACCACAAGATAAAAGGAGATATGAAATTTTTGTCTAATTGTTCTGTTTTTTCTATTCTGTGAGTGGTTTATTTAGTCTGGCAATGATACAAATTAATATCGAAGCTTCTGCTGGAACTCAACTGCTGTTTTGTTGTGGTATCAGGGGTTCTAAATATAGGCAGGCAAGCCAAGGAAAAGACACATGAAACTCCATATCTATTTGATTTTGCCAGTTTCTGAGAGTTTATATTTAAGCTTAAATTTAAATAAGCATTCTCATATTATCACTGCCGGTTTTAGAGCATTTCACTGGCACACTCATCATATTACTCAAATGTATCAAAACCATACGGTAGGTTAGGGCTGCGTTGCTAAGCCACCTGGGGTTCCTTCTTTCTTTAGTACTTTGGCTCCTTCAACGTTGGAGGTCTCAAACTGCGGGCTCAGGGGCCCCATCTCTGGCCCTCGGTCTACACAACATCAAAAACAAAGAACTAAGAAGTGGTTGCCTCCATTAAAAGGAAATTTTATAGGAAACCTGATTTCCTTATTCCCTTTGGAAAACCAGACTTCTCTAAAGACCTAAGGCTTTTCTTTTCTAAAACTGTCTCTCATCAACACTGAGCCTGAGGAGGGAGAGGACATTTAGCCTCATAATGGTGCCATGATCATAGCAACCTGCCTCACTCTTGAGTCCACCTGGTCAGTAGAGGCATTGAGTTTTGTGACCCATGCTGGGCACATGTCCCCTAGGGAATCTCATCAATGACAATGTCCACCCAGAGGACTTTTCACTGTGTCGCCCTGAAACATATTGTGGGATTCAGACACAAAGCTCTGACCATGTTAACTGTACAGTTATTATCAAGAGCATGGAAGTTTATGTGTTATGTTTTGTTCATTTGCTCAATGACACTTTTTCCTTGCAAGGAAATACCTTTTAGAAGTTAGTCCCGAGAAAAAGAAAAGATTTACTCTCTTATATAATTTTTAGAACATATACTCTTTCTACTTCCATCTGGGCTACCAGGAGGCTCAGAACTCAATTTAACAACATGTCATAATTCTGGTGATATTTCTCTTCTTACTTTGTGTGTCCTTGATAATTATATTAATACTATTTCCTAAAGTGAACACATATGTATGTATGTTGTACAATTTTCTGGTTCATTTTGCGAGAGATTGGGCTTCAATACATCAGTGTATAAGTGTTACTAATGCCTCAGAACCAGGCTCTGCATTGACAACAGGTATGTGTCTGTAAAATACCAACTGGGCTATGGCATTATTCCCTTTTTTTTCAAGAAGGGAGGTCTGCATGTCTACCTCATGTTCATAAGAAGTCTATGTGATTATCAGAGGGTCCAAGACCCTTTCACATTTCTCCAATCTACCTTCCTATCCATGCAACTGTGAAGTCACTGGCCCAGCTCCCAGAAGGGGGATGTGAGATGGCTTCCTCAGGGTCCCAAGAGGCAGATATTTTATCTAAAAAGACTTAGTGTCAGATGTCCTTCCACACCTAGGGTCTTCATTCTCTTTCATCTGCCATTCAGAGAAAAGACCATGCATGTCTCATTTGCTGACAGTAGTGCCAACAGCATTCTTCATGTCTCCTACATGGGGATCAGATGGGAATAAGGCTTGACTACTCTGTAGAACTGCTTTTCCAGAGCCAGAGGCCCTGGTGTCCCTAGGTAAAGGTCAGTCAATGATCCCCTCAATATGGTGATCCAGGCTCTGGGCAGAGACCTGCTATCCCAGAAGGCAGGTGCCAGCTCCTCTGACCCTGCAGTGACCTACCAGGTCAGCTTTTTTTACAGTCCACTCCCAGCTGGTTCTGAGATGAATTTTAACTGGTAAATAATATGCTTGGATGCCTTGGCCTGTCTCAATAAAAGACAAGTGACACACTGAAGTCTCATCTGTTTGTCATAGAAGTGCACATTCAAACAATATGTTATATTTATTAGTCTTTTGAGGACAAGTCAGATTTATAGCATTCCACTCTATTTTCCTTGCCACAAATGTGTGAACATGCACCCTTTTGTGAATCTTCCCTCTGAGGCATGGCCTGATTAACTCACTGAGACTGTTGTTTATTAGTAAGAGAAGTAATGGAAAGATACTTGGAAAAATAGGATTTAGTGGAAAGCCAGAACATTTATTTAGATGGGATCTTCAAACCTGAGCTAGCATCATCTAGAAGAAATGAAGGCCCACATAAATTCCATTGGGAGTGTTTAAGCCCATCTTTTGGCTACTTTTGATCTCATCAAATTAATCACTGGATCTGTTATCTTTTTCATGAGAAGTGTCTGCCATTAACAAAACCTGTTCCCCTTGGAAAACTATTAGCTCTCAGTGAATTAAAGCAATGGGGCACTCTGAATAAATTGCATCTTGCAAGAGACATCATTTGATAATTCAGACTCTCATGGGAAATACTGAAAGAACCTTTCTACATGCAATAACGTCACATTCCTTATTACGGTTAGCGTAACTTTAACTCTGACAAGTTTTATTTTTAGTCCCTAAATGATGTGTTTTTCAGAATGTGTATAGAAAATAATATTTTAAAAGGGGAAAAAGCAGGTTATTTCCTGTAGTCATAAAGATCTATTAAGGTGAAATTTTTTTCAAGTACTGTCATTCTTTTAGAAGATCGGTGCCAAGAAAGCTCTGTTTTGCATCCGTATTTTGTATATATATGATAGTACAATATTGAACTATTTAAATAGCCACAAAGACAAGTGGCCTCCATATCTATAACCAGGTAGGGTGAATTTTTAAATCACTTTTAATAGAAGTCTGTCAGAAATGCCTTTGTCAGGTAAAGTTTAGAAGTCTGTTAAAGTCACCTATGAATATTTATGTCATTAATGATAATCATAAAGTAGTAAGCTTTGTGCTGCTCCTCACTGGGGATCCTGGCATTGAGTGCCATGGCACTTATTTCATGTTGCCCTTTCCAGAAAAGCCGGGTGGATTGCAGTCAGGGCAGCTTTTGATGTTTCTCTTCAAGAATTCCAGTGGGGCTCCAAAGCATGGAATTAGGTCATTATTTCCAGCTCCTGTCACTACAACCAGCTAACACAACATCCAGCCTCAGCTGCAGCGGTGGCTAGCTTGTGTGCCAGCTGATCTTCATGGTTTTAGTTTGGGGTTTTGGTTTGCCTCTTTGTAGGTAAAACATATTGCCCTATCATATCAGTGATCCGGAGCATGGCTTAGCAAATAGCAGGGCAGCATAGAATTATTCCTACAGAAATACTGAAAATAGATGAGCAAGTACCATAAGCATATATTTTATTTTTGTTTAGCCTATGGTGAATATATGATGCTACTTTGTTGTGCTTTTTCTGGTTATACTCTGCTTGAACTGTATTCTGTTTCAACAAGACTGTTCTAAGTGCGCATGTCTCTTATCTTCTTACTAAAGGGCATGCATACTTTTGCCTATGTATATATTCTGGGTAATATCAGATTCTTCTCTACTTGTTGTATATTGAAAAAAAAAGTGCACAAATACTGCATGCAGGATGAGGTGCGGCTGGTCATCACTGCCCAAGGGCTGACTCATTGAGCCTGGCAGACAAGTTTCTGGAAGAAGAAAGAAAAAGTTCAAGGAAACTCCCATTCTTTTCTCTAACTGTCTTTTGTTCCTCTTTTCTCGACAGGAACTTTTTACCCCTGAATGCAAGTTTAAAGAATCTGTTTTTGAAAACTATTATGTAATCTACTCGTCTATGCTATACAGACAACAGGAATCTGGTAGAGCCTGGTTTTTGGGATTGAATAAGGAAGGGCAAGTAATGAAAGGAAACAGAGTAAAGAAAACCAAACCAGCAGCTCATTTTCTACCCAAGCCATTGGAAGGTGGGTGTTATGTGAACAACATCTCTTTCAGTTTATTCCACATTTATTTTCCGCATTGCTAACTCTACATTGACCACAAGGAACCCTTATGGAATGCTGGAAAATTTCCATATCTTGATCTGGGTGGTTGTCACACAGATGTCTACTTTAGTTATGAATTTAAGATTTGTACACTTTACCGTATATGTATATGTGTGTTTATAAATATATACACATATACATATGCCTATTATGTACCCCCATATGCATATACACAGACTGATGTACTATATAAATATGTCACATATATACATATATAGCTAAGTTTTGAAAATTATGGAATACAAGTATTTGCCCATTTTGATGATATCTAGCTGAAAGTAATCCCATACTTGTGAATTATTCTAATTACAGAAAATGAAGAGTTAATTGATTGGCCTTTAAAGAGCTTGTTGATGTCACATATCTCCCTTCCAGCTGTATATTTGTTTGTAAACTTAGGTGTGGCACTACCGTCTTTTATATTCATCTGTAAACAATGAAGCTTTCACTTTCACTTTGATCGGATTCCCAGAGAGCAGGCTATAAAGTGTTGCTAATTAATCAGAAACTTCACCTTTCTCACTAAGGTTTCAGAAGCCAGAAGTGCCATTTACTTTATCTATGTAATATTCGAGAACTACAAAAAAATTAATATTGAGGCATTTCAAAAGTGCTGTCTATTCAAATACTTTTGTTTACCTTCCACGGGAAACCAGATCTATAATACTTTCATCTAACTTAGTTTGATTTTCTTTTTGTTTTTTTCTTTCTAGAGGAAAGGTTTAGCCATCAAGAGAAAATGTGTATTGGTTTTATAATCCATCTTCTCTATATAGGAATAAGATACTCAAAATATTAAAGGTTGATTGTTAGTTATTTGTGGATTTTAAATTCAGCTTTCAGTTTACCTATGTTTGGAAAACCACTCTTGTTGGTTAACAGCATCTTTCTAATTTCAACAATAGTGGTTTATTACCCCCTAACTAAATTTGCCTATAAAACAAGCCATTGAAACCTATGCAGTTAGCCACCGGGGCCTATCTAAGAAAGGAAAAATTATGCCAGAATCTGAAATATGGTGAATAATTCTCATCATATGATAGATCATAAGGCAGTTAGAGGAGAAATAAGAAAGTAGAGGGTTTCGATGTTCTTCCAAAATAACACCTCTGTGATTTGACCTTACTCTTTTGCAGGCATCGAGACCATCAGACTCATCAATATTCAGATGCAAGTGAAACATTTGAAAACTAAGTCCATAGCAGTACTATAAAAATCTTGTTTATTTGCCACCTTGCTCTGTCTCTTTACATTAACTTTTGTTTTGAATGTGAACAGATATGAACTAACTAAATTCTAAAATCTTATCTCCTAATTGCATAAACATAATGAGAACCAAAAGGGCCTTTTTGTCTCTTAACTGAGGCAAAATCTGGAGACCAGCTATTTTTGTTTATCTAGCAGGAAATATCAGAGACTGAGATATGTGTAATAATATCACGTGGTGTTTGAATCATACACTGAACAGTTGTGTGTATGTGTGTGTTGTGCATTCATGGACTTTAACAGGCAGAGAGAAATAGTATTTTCAAATAATTAGCAGATGGAAGCACCCTAAAAACACCTAAGGGGGTATTATAATGATGGGGGTTATCACCTAGCGTAATTTATAGAAGAAGATTAATTTCAAACTTTCAAAACCCATACAGGATGTAAATTATATGATTGGAAACATTAGGGCAAATTAGGTACTTGATTAATTATCGATGCTCTGGGGCATTCATATCTCTTACACAACTTCACCACATGGATAATCAAGGTTAATGCTCGGATGCTATTGTCTCCTAATTGAATTAGTAGTGGGAGTGAGAGACTGGAAAGCGCTTCGAGGATTTGGACTAATCCCTTTTAGTACCTTGCGGAGTCATTTCCTACAGGTCTGCTGTACACATGCACTTTCAAACCTGTGTGCTCCTGAAAATCCACATGCTGCGCCGATGCGCAAGGTAGAGTTCTACTATCCTGAACATGGAGAGGGCATGGAGAGGTCCGCCCACCTGACCGTGGCGAGACATAGAGTCTCCTCATAAAGTAGCCTATAAATAAAACACTCTGAAGCCTAAAAAGCAGGTTAGACAACTCTAATTAACTAGCATTCCTGATGGCAGATGATTCTAACTTACCTAATTTCCCCCAAGCATCAGTTTGTCTTATGTGTCCTTGCACAGGATTCCCTGGAGTCCTTTTCCAAAAAGCCACACGAACTGTTGTGATTAACTGTGCCGCCAGATGCTACTCAGGCAACCCCTCAGCGCTCACCTGGACCTCCGTCCCACTTGCCCTCTTGCCATTTTGTGCTTCTGCCTTATTTTTTAACAATGTATCAGAAAATTATCCATAAGAATACAAAATGCCCCACACATGCCTTCAGTTTCCAAGACTGAGGGAGAGGAGATCTAAGGAGTGAGGTCCAGGAGGCCCTGGCTTAAAGAAAGTGAGTTCTTGGTCTTTGCTTGGGATAGCTTTGAAGTTGACGGTAGTGTGATTATGTTGCTTTTGAACCACTTGTGAGAAAACTAATGTAATGATCCAGAGCGTACATACCCGAACTCGAAAAGATGGATGGGGATGAAAAGATGGGGTTCAGGGGTTGATTTCAGTGTGCCCTGGAAAGGAAGTCTGAATTTTCCTAGCCTGTCCAAAGAACTAGGTTAAGAGCTCTTGAGTCCCCCACACTGTGTGTGTGTGTGCGTGCATGCACATGCATGCTTCATATCTGAGGCCCACAAAGAGGCCGTAGCTCCTATTTAAACCTTCTGTCTTAGACAAAAACCCACCCACACCCATGTACATATTTTAGTTCTATAAACCAGAGAATGTGAAGGAAGTGATTTCCATTGGGGGTGGGGGGTGGGAAATTATTGCATTAATGCAGGAATTCCCTCTACACGGGGTCGCTCTACTCCGGGGAAGACAGGACAGGTGTATAAGGACAGGCCATCGTTGAACCTAACCACATAATGTCTCCTTCTCTCCTTTCTTCATGCCCTCCTGCCCGTCCTCAGTTGCCATGTACCGAGAACCATCTTTGCATGACGTTGGAGAAACGGTCCCGAAGGCCGGGGTGACGCCGAGTAAAAGCACAAGTGCGTCTGCAATAATGAATGGAGGCAAACCAGTCAACAAAAGTAAGACGACATAGCCAGATCCTCACAGGTGTTGTGACTTACTCGTCCTGAGCACAGTTGAGTGATTTATCCTTGCCAGACATTCCTGCTCCTGTGGCTGAGGAGCAGCTGGAAGTAAGCCCATGCTTGCTCTTGGCTGTCTCGAACTTCTTGGTTGCAAGTGGATAAATCTCAACCTGTTGCACCCCCAGAACAAGAAGACACCTGGATAACCAGCTAAACTCAGACCATGGAATGCCCTACCAGATATGGAATGCCTTTTTAATATCTTTTCTGTGACCGTGACACTTCATGTGAATGACATACTTCACAAGTACACTCGATACCTTGCCTGCTGACAGCTACCCATAATCCTTTTTGAGTCCTGTTTCAGCGAAATCCATGTTTAAGTTCAATTTTGTAGCACACGAATACTATTGAGTAATTTCTAGTTAGACGCTGTAAACCTGTGCTATTATGGATTTCTCTTCTCCCCGTTTTTACAGGGCTGCTCGCGCCACTGTCTGTGACCTTTTGCAGGAATTGTATTCCTCTAAATCTTAAATGTTGCAGTTGGCCTAGTTCGGAGAGCGATCAGGGAATCAGGAAGCCTTCTAAACCTATTATTACAAATTGCATCTATAAAGATTTAAGAGTGTTGTCTCCGGCTCCCACTATCGATTAAACACACATATACGATCTATCCAGTAGCAGATACCGTGCTCCTGAGGTTGGCGTTGCCGGGGTGAGAAATGGGTCAAACACAGTCCCAGGGGGGAAGCTCTCTATGATACGTGTTTGACACCCCCCTATAGTTTCTTTGTGTGTGTGTGTGTTTTATACATATCACAAGCTTACTGGTAATGGTAACATTTGCCTTGCCCAGCGAGCAAGACCCACTGGTTTTTGAGAAAGTGGGTCCAAAGAACTCTGTAGGCCTTGTAGGCCTGATTAAGGTTCATTTTTCATCTACTGATCCTCATTATTTGGAAAAAAGAAAAAAAAAAGAAAAGAAAATTCAGTGATTACAACCTACAAGAATTGCGCTACCTAAATCCATTTCAGATATAATCCTACCTGTTTTTAATGAACCGAACTGAATGCCATCCCCGGTTTTGGCTGCGTTCCACTCATACTCAGCAGAGCATGGGCAAGGCGGCTGTTGTGTTCTTTTCTGCAGCAGCAATGCAAACGTTAGTTATAAAATTAGACTTTAATATTTTTGGTGTTTAATGACAAGTTTTTAAACTGGACATATTAGGAAAAACTATTTTTTTTAGCTCAGCATGCTGAGTCAGGTACTGTGTATCTCACCACTCCATACCTGTAACTCAGCTTCTTGGGGCCCCGGTTGCCCAGTAGCTGGGGTAGAGGTGCCTTGCCATGAGCTCAGAATGCAGTCTGTTGAATTCTCCTGGATCAAATTAAAGGCAAACCAACACGTCCAAACATCAGGTTTTTGGTCCACGCCATCGATTTGCTTTTGTTTGATTTTGCTTTCTTAATTTCCTTTTGCCTAAGTCCGAGCTTAGGGAAGACAACCGCTAAGAAAGGCCATGAATCGTTGATTGCACAAGGAAGAAACCATGCAAAACGTTCGCTATGGGATACGGAGAGTTTCAAAATGTTTAAGATGAAACTGTTTGGAAATATATTTGTTAACTCTGTGTATAACTTAATAAAATTCAATGTTTCCTCCTCAGAAGAGTTAACTGAGACCAAACTGAACCTCATTTATAGAAAACTATATGTGGGATCATGTACTGGCCTCTTATGATTATTTCCATGCAGAAGGCTGACCCAGTCGCCAGCCCCCCCACCCCCCCATCTGCACTGTTATTTCCTGGGAAATTATTTTGCCACTGCGTTCCTAAGTCTCCATGACAGCCCTTGCCCGGCATTAAAAAATTTTGGCCTGCTTAGCTGATTAAAGATTTAGTATAAATTTAACTGTTTATGCTTATTTCATTTTCATATTGGATTTCATTTTAATAAATAAAAAGTTAGCATAATGTTTGAGTAGATTTATTGTCAATAATGCTAAAGTATGAATACAACAAAGTGATTCCTTCGACCATTCTTGATTTCTTGTGACAGCATTTTAAAGCCTATCGTTTTCAACAGGGTGAGTTAAAAACCATTAGATGAATTTCACTAACCAATTATTTAGGAAAGACATGTATTCTATAGTCTGTGGCAAACTGAATTATTTAACTTGACATTCCAATTAGATGGGCTTATAGACACTGCTTGCCCCAACACACACACACACACACGCACACACACACACACATCAAACAATCCCACGTATTTGTTTTTGGCAATCAGCCCTACTCACTGTTTTTTTTGTTTGTTTGTTTTTTTTCCCTTCTTGCAAGGCTGTTCATTGGTTAAAATGAAGACAAGATTTATTTTTGTAAATGACTGAGATTTATGTAAATGTGCACCTCTGTTTTGTTTTTTTTATATGAGTTGTCTCTAAGGGCATTTATCCCTATGAATGGATGTCAAATACTTTCTTCTAATATATGTTTAGACATATTGCAAACGGGTCCTTGTTATTTGTAAATTAGACCGTTTCCTTTGTGTCTGGTCTCACCTGTTGCATGGGACGAGGACAGCACCGATGAACTGCATGTAGTAGGGACCTGTGTATCAAGAACTGTTGGTATGTACTATTCAATTTACATACAAAGAGTTTGTCTGCATTGTACAGTTTCTGTGTTTAATACCATTTGTTGTATTCACAAATACAACATATTGAATAAAATATTGATATGAAGGCATATTACAAAACATCAAACAACTTTATGTAACAAAATGGCATTGCTTCACCCACAAATATAGAGAAATGTCATGTAAATAAGTTGGTACACTCAATGTCCCCCTTTACCATGCCAAAGAAAATTTTAGCTCTCTGATGATACCTCTCTTGCTCTTTTTCTGGGATAAGACTCCACCATTTTCCCCCCTCAACAATTAAGTTTGCTGTTGTTAAGCAGTGCAATCTGTCATCATTGGTGTTCTGTATAGTAAATCTGATGGAATTCATTTGTATCTACAGACCGTGTGTTTTGTACCTCCATGTACATATGTCAGTTGCATCGAGTCTCTAATGTCACATTCCTTTTGCATGCATATCTGGTAGGGGAGGATGATTTCTACTGGTTTGTTACCGTAGCTGATGGCTTCACCCATTACTCAGCAATGCTCGGGAATGTTTGTTGTTTTGATATTCCAGGTGACACCACTTTTAAGTTTGCTTTCTAAAATGTTTTGCTACAACTTTACTTGGAAAATATTAGAGAAGAGATGCAGATGGTGCACCCTATGTAAAGAGTAAAATGGTACTGAGCAACATTTCATTCCAAATCCTGCAGAATTTAGAGATTCTTGCTCTAAATGTTTGCCTGCCCTGAGTGGGGACAAGAGGTGGCTTTAGAAGCCCCACAATAGGCCTACAAGACTCCTGCTACAGTGCTTCTAATTGCTTACCTTTTGGAGAGTGAGCAAAGTAAATATTTTTAACACACTCAGCCAGTTGCTCAATGACTAAAACAGATGTTTTTGAGATAACAAATAGTAGATTTGATTTTCTTTCATAAAACAAAATAACAACAACAAAATTTCTTGTTCTTTATGTTAGCCACGTATCATTTCATTTAAGGTTTTATTCCTAACATTACAGGGAGAACTAATGTTTGAAGGACAGACTGGATTGGCTAAGAAATCCATTTTAGAAGGAAACAAAATAATTGAAACCTATTTTCAATTCTGTTTCAGAACAAGACTATTTCCAGGGAAAGCAATTGGCTAAATGCAGACATACCCACTTTCAGATGCAAACTGTATTACCTTGGAGTAAAATATATTTCCTAGCTTAAGTTTTTTAGTTTACAAGGGGGCATACAGGGCCTTTTGACTCTTGGATACTGGGTGGGTTCAGAGTTTTGATAGTGAGTCTGTAAATGAAGGCTGAGTTGTGATTTTTTATTTTTTCTTGGTTTTCTGTATCATTCAGTCTAATCCTGATGTTTGCTAACAGAGATTGTGTTTGCATTTGAAGTGGTGGAGGCCATTCCTTTCAAGGTGCTACAGGAATCTAGATTAGCTCAAGGGGTCCAGGAAGAAAATGGGATATAATTATTATCCTTTTGGGTCTTAGGACCGTAGTCGAATTTTATTGAAAAGTCCTTGTGGAAGAATTCCTCAGTAATGGTTTGCCAACAAGCAGGGTGAGTGCCAACACCAGCTGCAAACATGTCTCATCCTTCCCAACGTTAATCTCCCAGTAACTTCACACAAACTCAAACAAGCCAATGAGCTTTGCATATTTACCCTTCCCCTCTTACAAGTTTGTTTCTGCCCTACCTTTTTTTTTTTTTTGAAAGAGGAGTTTTTATCTTAGTAAGGGAATTAAAAGTCAAAATACAAAGTCACAGTGAAAAAGAGTAAGATTTATGTCTTTACATGTAACTGTATTTTATTTTTTCCAACTTAAACATGTAATTTAAATAACTTCTTAATAGGTCTATTGATAATTGCATTGCTAGAGTCAAAATCATATACACACATATGAAATATAGCAGACAGAAAGAAGTAGAAAGAAATTATTTCTGTTTTAAAAGAAAAATATTCATTAGAGATTAGGTACCAGTTGACTTATGCTATAACTCAGTTTCAGTTCAATAATTTGTAGCTAAATGAACCCAGAAGATAGCTGACTGTAATATATTTTCAGCCTTGTCCAAAAATTTGAACAAATCACATTTGGAACTTCCTAGTATAATAATTTCTCCATCTAGAAACTTTTTCTTAAAAAACATAAATGCTGAGGACAATTTTCTTATATGAAAATATTAAAAGAGAAGCACTTTTGTTGTAGCTATTGATAAAAGAGATAACAAATGTAGAGAACCACAAGAAAAATGAAGCACACCCAGGATTACTTGATAAGACAGAGGAAATTAAGGGGAGCTCCAGTAGAGCACAGGTTGATAGAGTACTGCTTTGCTGGGAGCCAAGTCCAGGACACAGACTGTTTTTGTATAGCCCAAGAACTCCAAATTTGTTTGCTATTTACCCTTTTTATAAAGTATTAAAAACAGAGAAGAAGATGCAACAGAGATGTATGTGGCCCACAAAGTCTAAAATATTTACTCTCTGTTCCTTTATAGAAAGCAGAGTTCTGCAGGAGGAGAAGCTGAATGTCATTTGTATTATAATGGCTAGATATGAAGTGAGTTCTGATGATGGTGCATCATCAAGTCAACAAAAGTGCTACTGATCTATTATACCAGGTTTGTTTAAGGCTTAAAATGATTACAGAGGGGGAAAGAATATAATCTATTATTATTTCTTAACTGCTTATATTTCCCTCATTTTACAAAACTGATATATCAATGGACATACTCAACAATAGAGATACAACTAATATGGTTGCACTCCATAATCTCAGGATAGAGATAACAATTTTATAAACCTATTAAAGTGTGAGAACACTATTAGTACAATAAAAGTCAGCATCAAATAAACTTTCTCTTAAATAATTTTCAATATTAAATTTTTAAGTAACTCGGCAGATGCATATTTTCCTTATTTTTGGTGATTTGACTTATAAAGTCCAAGCCATGACTCTAGAATATTTACATCATTAAGTAAAATTTCCAAGTGAAAATTTTCATCTTAAGCAATGCGGAAATGGTTTTGTTACATTATTGTAGGATTTTACAAAATATAATTCACATTTAGAAAAAAAGTGGGTTTTTTTAGCTCCAAATAATTAAAGGTTGCCTAAACTAATGTGTGTAAGTAGATTTAACTGTAAATATGTAAGGGAAGTCCTAATTATTGTACATTTTCATAATTCAATGTGAATTTCATACAGAACAAAATTTCACCATTAAGAAAAATAAACATTTTGTTCCTATCGCTGAGTCAATATTTGTAATTTCTACTAAAGACATTTCTAGATGTTGTTTTTATCCTCCAAGCTTTGAGACTGGTATCATTTGATCACAGTATCTCTTCTTGACTTCTTTGCATGACCCTACTTTTGCAGCAAGTAATGTATCCTTAGAAATAAAAGTCTTTTAAGGGAAACAAATGCATATTTCAGGTCCAACCTAGATCCAATTAGATACTGTCTTTTTAAAAGGCAAGTTACCACGGAGTAATTTAAATAGTGAAAAATCAGATTCCTTGTACACCTAAACCCCTGCCCAGTTAAAAAACTCATAACAGGAGATGCCCCTGACTACCAATTTATTTTTTTTTGTTTTTAATTAGCAGTAGGTAAATACATATTGACACAGATTGTAAGCAACTTATGTCACTATTTATTAAAAATGTTAAATTGTACACTTTTCATACTTCCTTCCTAAGAGGATCATGTTCTGTGAATTTAAAGTGAGACCAGATGAATGACACTGGCTAACACTGACCAGTCTTTTTCTTTAAAAAGAAAGATCTGGCCTCCTGCGCCCTGACATTGCCCCTTCTGTGTAGTCTGTCTTTATTGCTCCATATGGAAATGCTGAGTGACAGGGAATCCTGAAAAAAATATGATCAATGGCTTTATTTGGGGTCATTTCCTTAGATTCTAACATGGTCTTTTTTTGTGAGGACTGTGCAGGTCTAACAACCATGTAATTCAGCGTTTCTCAACTCTGGCGCCAGTGACACTTGGAGTCAGATAACCTTCTGTCATGGAGGCCGTCCTGTGCACCTAGGATGTTTAGCAGCATCCCTGGCCTCTGCCCACTAGAGGCCTGTAAGCACATCCTCCCACCCCACCCAGTGTGACAATCAAAATTGTCTGTAGACCTTGCCCAGTGTCTTCCAGGTGGCAAAGTCACCCTTGTTGAGAACCACTGATGTAAATTCTGGAAGAAAAATTCTTTCTGGTGTTATTTACATCAGACTTTGCTTAACTCATTTTTTTAATGGGTAACCAGACTTCATGCAGGCATTCAGAGACAGAAAAACATACAATAGTCTGTTTGACCTGTCCTAGTGGTGATTATACATGGCTTCCTTTGCATTTATATGTTCTAATGGCCTAGAAAAGTAAGACTCCAGTCCTCTCCTGTGGAATTGTTAAGGATACTCTGTGCCAAGCCAGATTTCACATGCATTTCCATTCCATCCATCCCAGCATTCACAGTTCCCACAGCTGCATATTCCGTTCCCTGCAAGAAAATACACAAAGGAGTCATCATTATGATCAAAGCGCACCAAGTTAAAATATGTTATTATCAACCCTAGCCGTTCATAATCAAAAGCCATTCCATTCATATTCTGCAGATTTTATGGTGCAGCCACCTCAGTATTATCTTATTAAACAGCTATGGGAAATCTGATCTTTCAAACCATTCCTGGCAGCTACTTGGTGCCACCAACTAAGTTGTATCCATTCAGTAGTGACCGCCCTGTCTCATTCCAGCTGGGCTTTGTCTGCATCTCTATTTCCCCTCTAACGTGTTGAAGCACATGTACTTTAGAACCACTTCTCAGGACTCAGTAATCGGGAGAATAGCACCTTCTACACAGCCACCGGTGCTGTTGGACTTTCTCACAAACGGGGGCCGGGACGAGGTGCAGAGCAACCCGCACAGGTCACAGCGCACCTGTGCAAATGAGGCCGTCGTGCTTGTCACAGTCCCTGTCATCACAGTCACAGAGTTCTCCCGAAATATACCACTCTTCGGCAGAGCAAATGCACTTTCCACAGTGGCAAGAACCTGCAATCACAAAGGGCATTACTTGCTGTCACCGCATAACTAAAGGTTTCTGTCTAGAATAGTACACCGTCAACGAGCACAGACAACAGGCTTCTAAAAACCCCATCTTTCAAAGGTAAAAGTTTATCGAAGAGCCTGTTGCTCAGAGGGGAGCTTTACTTACCACAATTCATAAAGGTCATCCAGGAAAGGCTTCATTATGGATCTAGACAGTTGCAATTAGCCTTAGCAAATGTTCCGTGGCCCAGTCTTATTGAAAAGTCAGTAAGAGCAGAGTGTGCTGATTCTTATAGATGGCCTTCCAAAAAGGTGTTCAAAAACAGATGCTTTTTTCTCTTTTTTTCCCCCTGAATTGAATCATGTTTTAAAAACATCTGCTCTTAAAGGAACTGAACGGTAAGTTCTATTAAATAAAGATGCATTTTATAACTAAAATTACTACTACATTATTGTGCTTCTAGTTTTGGAATTTTGTCTACATGATTTCTTAAAGGGGGGGCACACGTGCATATTGGATGGCTCGTTAAATGCACACATGACCATTGAAATGCACACATGACCATTCGTAGGCACTTGACTTACAGGACCTCACTCTTGGGACCCACCTGCCAAGATCAAGGAGAGCTCTAATCTCCCCCCAGAAGTTTATCTTCTATGAGGCTCTGGGTGTAACCAACTTTCTCAATACTTCACCCATTTCTCCTCCTTTTACTTCCTACCTAATAAAAAACTTCCTCTTCTGCTATTAAAAATATTTTGGTATACTGAAAAACAATTTTATGAGTGGTATATTTAAAAGAAAACACATGAATTAAATGGTCTCACAAAAAGAATAAACCCTCCATGTCCCGACATGACAGGCTAAAAAACCCTCACATGGCAAAATTACTTCTATAGCGGCAGTAAAGACAACTGTAAAACTAAAAAAGAAACACATAAAAAGGACTTCCCCTTCTTCTATTTCCTTGGCTTGGTTGTTCCTTCCCAACGTGATTTCCTTTTACTACATGAGGGGTATCACTAAATTTTTCAGGTCAAAAATCACCTTAAGAGAATGTGAAGTAGAAAAAGTATTGTGATAATTTAACAAAATTCTAGACTGGCTAAATTCAAGATGGATTGGGAGGGGGGTAGGGGTCGATCATTACTTAGTGCCTATGTGAAACGCAATGATGAAAAATAAGTTAGCAAGCCAGGAGATAAAAGTAGCTAGAGAAAGGAATATTTGTCATAGATATCATGAAAGGATTCAAATAAATGGGTCTCATCCCTTAGTCACTTTGTGATATTTCTTGTGGAAACTGGCATGTGCTTTTAGCTACAAGAATCCCCAACGGCCAAATTAAATGTGTGAAATGCCTTGTCACCCTTCTCAAGGTAAGGGAGTAGTCAGAATTAGTGATAGGCTGACAACTGTGTTTTCACTGATTAACTTCTTGCTTAACTACAGCATGATTTCATTTAGTCTTGATGCTTTTCCTGAGGGTCTAGAATGATCTACATGCTCTTGAGTACAATCTAGACAACTTTTGCTTCTGATGAGTGGCTGGAAGGCTGCATAGGACCTGTGAGCTGAGCCTCCTGGTCAGTCTGTGAGGGATGGTGGCTCCTTCTTGGCCACTTGCAGGTACAGTTCTTCCTTAGTTTAGAAATCTATTTATCTTGGCTTTGTAGATTTTCTTTCCATTTTCTTAAGCACAGAAATGTTGAAAATACTACTCATTAGCAAATGGTTAACGATATATCTACAACTGAGAAAACTTGGGGCATTTCATTGACCCTTTATTGCAATTTCCTCAGAAGGCACCATATTCAGTGCCGTATTTCCATGAATAGAGGAAGATTAATTATTTGAAGAATTTGAGTGTTTTTAGTTGTTTCTAAGATAGTGCCTCCCTCACATTGCAAATTTATTTCTACAAAGAAGCAGATGCAAATGCCTTTATATGTCCATGATATTTGTGTATCACACCTAGCATATCTTTTTTTATTTTGTCGCAATTCATGAAAAGATCTTACACTTCATTTTTAAACTTATCCACCTGGCTCTGAAACTATTCTAATCACTGCTCTAGCTTCTGAAATGCTTAGCTTCAGGCCATATCAAAGTATTCTCCTAAAACTGATAAGCTCAGCTGAAGTTAATATGGTATACATTTACAGACCGTTTGACAAGTCAATTCCAGTTCCCAAAAGTCTACTAGTTACTGAAAGACCTAGAATGAAAAATGTGGATTGATTTTTGTGTGTGCTGTGAAAACTAGCTTTTCTTGGTCAGCATCTTCCCCCAGCTGTGTTGTTCCTTCCTGTTTGCCAATTCCCAGTCTATCTTAGAGGTCGGAAATTCTTCTGTAGCTTGTGAAACTAGGAATAGCCATGCGTGTAATAATAACACAGTGGGATAGTTATTAGGACCTTTATAGCCTTTGTTGTAGAATGGTCTGGCTGTTTTCATTGATAACAAGAGGTCAAACTGCCTGTCTCTGTAAAGGGAAAAACTGAGGGAAAGGATTCTATCCGACAGACATAGGGTTCACGACAGCCAAAAGGTGACCAACTGTTTAGCTCAGCTGGCCAGGAGCCACTCACACCCATGAGACCAGTCCAGCCATTGGGAGCAGCTGGCTGATCTTGGCAGGAGTTCTCAGGTAGTAAGCTCAGGACCAGGACCACAACATCACTAACCCACTTACTTGCTTTCTCAGTATAAGGACCCCCAAGAAAGCTCTGATCTCCCTTCTGTGCTTCTTATTGGCTTCCATTCCTGGGGAGCCAGCCACATTTTCTCATTTGTCTTCAAAGCATCCTTAGGACTTAAGAAAGGGAAAGAAATGAAATTCTTCTGCTTTCTTGAAAGAGGAGAAAATGGAAGTACCAACAGGATAAGGGAGCTGCCCAGGGCCACATGGATCAGAAATAAGTTATCCCAAGATTTCATTCAGATTCAGTCTGTTCTTTGTCTACCTACCTACCTATCCATCATGCCTCTCACAGGAAAAACTTTCATATAGTTTCAAAAAATGAATTGTTATGTTCTCACAGCTCTGACAGGATAGCCACATCGGGTGAAGGAACTAGAATGCTGGGCTATAGCCGGGTTTTGAAGCGCAACTAGTACCCTTTCCCTTTCCTAGGGATGGAAGACAATAAGCCCGGGTGAAAGGGGATGACAGGTGGGTGGGCATGCACACTGTGACTTCCATGGCTGATGCGAGACTCTGCATGTATCCTTGAGAGAGTTTAGGGAGGCATCCAATGATACACAACTACAGTCACTGTCACACTACAGCATCTTTAAGAGGATTACAGGTGACAACCTGGATCTAAGTTGAAGTTATGAAGGTAAAATCCGGATAAACAAATCCCCAAACAGCCTATGACCACATCACGTATTCTGCAAAGGTGGCTAAACTCAGGGGAGACCTGGCTCTAAGCTCATCCCTCTGGTTATTCACAGAAACAATTTGAGTCTAAGGGCGAGGCACCTTTGTTAGCTGCCCCATTAATTAAGTTGGACTTTCTTTTTCGTTCATCAAGCCTGACAAAATGCTGCAACCTGACATCCCAGCAGGCAGTTTTCACTATTGTACTAACTACTCCATCTGTTATGAAGGTCACAACAATGTATCTTGTTTTAAATTTTTCTATGGAGTGATTTATTGTCTTGGCTATCAATTTGTAAAGAAATAAAATGCTATTTCTTCATCGTCTCCTGAGGTGACAACTTTATTCACAGCTCACGGGAAGTGCATGTTCCAGACTTGTCTTTCTGGTGGAAACATTTAGCTGGCAGTTTGGGCCACTACCCAGCATCCATGTGACCTCAGGCTTATTGCTCACGCCTGTCTCATATTTGGAGAAAGACAAAGGCTCCAACTTCTTCTGTGATCATCAGGGGGAAGGATTTTCTTTTGCAAATTTGAGAAAAAGTTTATGAAACTCTGCCAAGCCCATGAGATCAAGAAATACATGGTCATAGTCAAGTCCCTTGGCACAGACTTCTCTAACATGCCACCACCATGTTAGAAGACCATTAGTCTACTTTCTGGACTACTTTTCCTGTGATTTTTGGGTGGGGGTGGAGTGGTACCCTCCATGGGGACAGGAAGAACTGTGGCACCCCTGCTCTCTTCTGAGCCTACAGTTTCATGATCTTGGTTTTAGCTCCTTTCTTCCTCTATAATCCAGCACTGATTAGAACAGAAGGAAAGAAGCCACAGCCAGCTGCTGCCAACAGTAGGAATGCCCACCGTCGCCACTAACACCAGCTTTAAAAAGTACAGCCTCCAAGCAGCTTTTACATTCTAAGTTTAATGACTCTAAAACTCTCTACTCACAGAAGGATAAACAGCTTAGACAAATGTACTTTCAACTCTGCATTGATCTTTGGATATATTTCCATCACCCAAAGCAAACAATTCGAAAAGGCATTAACTAGAGAGAGATTCCTTGTTCTGTTTTGTTTTGAGGAAATGTCTTTGGGGCAATATTTAGTCAACTTATTTTTTTTTTTGCATTTTCTACATTTATGATGCTGAAAAATAAGACTCTCCTCAGAAAGTAATGGCTTTAAAAAGAATGTTCATTTCTTCCAAAGAAACGGCTCCTTTTTGTATGAAATTCTGTGTAGGAAACGACAGACTGGTATTTGCTACACGGGTGAGCACGGCTTTGTGTTTTCTTCCTATACCTACAACTGAACATGACTTAACCAAGGCCTGCTTGTGGAAAAGGTTAACGATTCAATAGTGGGTCTAATAAATACACACACACACACACACACACACACACGCGTGCACACACAGTCCCAAAATAGCTGCTTTTTAAAGTAAACAAATTGAAATGAGCACACTAATGTTTTAATGTGACTGGGCATCATCATTCTGTAGAGTTTCTGTGAAAAGTTACTATCCTTATTCCAACGGTAATTCCATTATGGAAAACCAACTAAAAAAATAAATCTAACCTTTAGGGCTCTGTGTTTGGAGCTACACTCAGAAAGAAGAAATCTAATTCAGACAGGTTCATCATTCTCACTGCTTTGTTATTTGCAGGATACTGCCTTCTGATCAGATAACATTTCTTTTCTCCTCTTCTGCTTCCCCCTGGAAGGTAAATCCATCTCTACCTCCTTTCCTGTTTTCCTTGTTAATCTCCTCCTCCACAATTCCTTCACCCTTTTTGGCTCTCCCAACAGAGCTTGAACCTAAAGGAAGAGTTTCCAGGAGTTGAGAGCCCCTGACAGCCAGACTGGCGCTAGATTCATCTGGAAGTTGGAATGAGAATAAATTTAGTAAGAGAACAAACAGGGAACAAAGTGGTTGCTTTAAACTCATTCGACTGCCACCTGACGGCTGTCATTGTATTAGGTTGAAGGCATGTCCTCCTTGGCACAGCACGGTAAACACAAAGTCTCAAACACGGTATTCCTGGAAACCAAAGACAAAAATTGTTGTCTGTAGATAGTGAGCATGTTTCAATTTCCCGCCTTCTTCCTGGCATTACATGTGGTCCCAGCATTCCATCTGATTTTATCTTTGCATTTATGCTTAAAAGCCTCTTTGAGCCTGATGGGGGTTGCCTTTGGGGATAGGCAAAGGAAGAGCCACTGTGTAGGGGCACATCCTATTTCTAAAACCTCCCTCATCACTATGCAGCCATTCACTTTGCTTCACTGTGTCTTCTTCAGAAAGATATTTATGTGCTAATCTGGACACAGGGTAGGTGTCTGAGGGAAAACAGTATAGCTTCACGTAGCTGTGCCTAATCTGAAAAGGGGAGGAGGCTGTCTGTTGGGCAAGGAAGCTGCTGTGCTGAAGAAGAGAGTCTGGGCACTCCGTGCCATCTAGTTTCACAAAAGGTAGCTCCAGAACATTACTGAGAATCTGGTGAGCTTCCAGAGCCTTTCTGGTGTTTTCCCAGGCACCAGCCAGGAGGAACATGACAGCCTCCTAGATGAGCCCATATGCACTATGAGAACAGGATTTTAAAGTCTCTTCAAGAATTAATACAAGAATATCAACATCAAGGTATCTGACATTTAATCTATCATATCCTTTCTCAGAAGAAATCTGTTCTGCTTTTCTGGGGGAATTAAGGGGACAGTGAGTAGGACTGCTTTTCTTCTAGAATTTGCTCCTGTGGCAAATGTTTGATTGAGATGGTAGTTCCTATTCAATTAACTTGAAAATTATAAACATGTTGCAGGCCTAAATTTCTTTAGGTTACACATTTGGTTGGGGAAATGGTGATTTTTAGGCCAAAGAAAATGATGCCAGAATGAACTTTGGGACCCATATACTCCTTTCTTTTTTTATGAAATAAAACATCTAGTTTCTCTTTATGTCCTTCTCCGACCTTCTACCCTCCCCTCCTCCCCACATCCATCTACATACATGATCTGGCCTCTGAAATGCCCCAAACTCTGCTTATTGACAGTCCAGATACTTGTGATCACTTTTCTGCAGTTCTGGGGTGTGCTATTTCACATGTAAACTCAACAATTACTCCTTTGTCTTTTTTGGGATCCCATTCATTGCCCATTATATCTTGTTGTCTTTTCTTCTTTATATGATTATTCATTACATGTCACTCAGCAATGACGATGCATGCAAGTTGCTGAGCACCTTTCCTCAGCCAATCCTTCCCTAGCATCTCATTTTCTTAGATCCCAAACTTCATGTGGTTAACGCTCAAGTCTGAAATCTAGTACAAGCAGAGGACAGCGTAGTTTTCATTCCTGCAAAGTGCAGTCTGTAAAAGGTTGTACATGCTGCTGTACAAAGAATGTGTCAGAACAGGGACCCAGGCCAAGCTCCGGCAGAGATACTCACCCTTCCCGGAGCACAATATGCCATCTGCTGATTCACACGAACTCTTGCTTTGTTCTTCCGTCATGTTACACTTCCGTGGGTGCTGGCAGAGCTTCCCGAACCATCCTGTCTCACACACGCAGTGACCACAGGAACATGTGCCATGGCCTGCGAAGCAATCACAGGGTTGGGGGGTGGACAGGGGCAGTGAGAAGGGGAGATGAATAAATATCCAGCTGAATCACGGCTCTTAAGAAAGAAATATGTAAACCATAAGCCTTCATTTCCTATCAAGCAAACATGCTTTCCCTTCTACAGAGTCAATTTGGCATATAATTGCTTAAGAGGATTTCACAATCGAGTTCCAGATTAATATACTACATTCAAATGTAGAATAGGAGATGGTCTTAGAAATAAAGAAATCTTGCAACAATTTAAAATACAATTTTAGGGGCAGCCCTGGTGGCTTAGCAGTTTAGCGCCACCTTCAGCCCGGGGTGTGATCCTGGAGACCCGGGATGGAATCCCACGGTGGGCTCCCGGCGTGGAGCCTGCTTCTCCCTCTTCCTATGTCTCTGCCTCTCTCTCTGTGTGTCTCTCATAAATAAATAAATAAAATCTTTAAAAATAAAATAAAATACAATTTTATCATCCTTGCTTGATACAAAGTACTTCCATATTTGCATTTTTATCAGCATGAAGTCTTAGGGCGCTTCCTCATTGTACACACCATGACATCCAGACCAGCTTGCAAGGCTAGTCACGTTACCATGGCTTGCTGAATTTATTGATTGCTCTCCTATTGTTTACTAATAAAAAAACCAAAAGGTTAACTTCCATAGGAATTGTATCATATTACTTTATCTGTGTACTCCTCCCCTTAATAATAAGAACGGATATAAGTTTAAGTAGATTTATTGTATAGATGTTAAAAACAGCATAAGGTTTAGACTCATATCTGTGACTTCTTTTCCTCCTTTTGTTTTTGCCATTGGCACCTGGTTCTGGGGATGTTTATCTTCTGGTGTATATATAACATTGTATTTATGACAGTTATACACCAGCATAGAAGTCCATCTAATTGCTTGCCACCAATATCCCATTACACTGTCTCATCTTTCACTTTAATTTCTTATTTTTCAACCAATGCTTTATTCTTTCACCTGTATGTTCATTACATTACAGCCAGATCTCTCCAAACAGAACAACCAAAATTGTTTGGTAAAATTTTACTGATTATGAGTAGAGCATTTTGCTAGGCACCAGGGGCTACAAAAATCAAGCAGGACAGACATGATAGGTAGTTTTAACTGCCACATAGTTTAAAGGTATACAGTTGGCATTCGTGGGCACTTCCTTCTTGAAAAGTCTCTCCTAAGAGGTTTTCAGGACATGGGACCCTCCTCCTTCCAACACTCCTCTTTTGTCTATTTTTCTACTTTTTTTTTTTTGACCCGATGAAGGCAGGTGTTCCCTGATTGTCTATTCTTAATCTTCTTTTATCTCTCTATAATCTCTCTTTTGAAAAATTCATAAATCACAGGCTTTCAGAGAATGGCAATGATCACAGGACTAAATCTCCAGCCTCTGAATTTCTCCTGAAGTCCACTTCCGTGATTGCATACTTTGTATTCTACTAGCATCCAAACTGACACTTCTACACCTGTGTATACAGTTTTCCTTTCCACAGCTTCTCTTCTGTATTGCCCATTTCTTTTAATGGCACAACTATCCTTCCAGTCATCCAGGTCAAAATATTTTGAATCTTTGTAGTACAACCTGAAATCTGGCATTGTGATGCCCCCAGATATGGTTTTCTTTTTTTAAAATTCCCCTGGCTGTTTGGGGTCTTTTCTGATTCCACACAAATCTTAAAATAATTTGTTCTAAGTCTCTGAAGAAAGTCCATGGTATTTTGATAGGGATTGCATTATACGTGTAAATTGCCCTGGGTAACATTGACATTTTCACAATATTAATTCTGCCAATCCATGAGCATGGAATATTTTTCCATCTCTTTGTGTCTTCCTCAATTTCTTTCAGAAGTGTTCTATAGTTTTTAGGGTATATTTTGAGAACCATTTGAATGGTAAATGGTTCTCCAACCTTTTATTTTCAGGTTGTAGGTGTCCTTCTGTCTAAAATGAGTCTCTTGTAGACAGCAAATAGATGGGTCCTGCTTTTTTATCCAGTCTGAAACCCTGCGCCTTTTGATGGGGTCATTAAGCCCATTCACGTTCAGAGTTACTTGAACTTCTTCTTAAAGGGGAGTTTTAAGAGTCCCCCTTAAAATTTCTTGCAGAGCTGGTTTGGAGGTCACATATTCTTTCAGTTCCTGCCTGTCTTGGAAGCTCTTTATCTCTCCTTCCATTTTGAATGAGAGCCTTGCTGGATAAAGTATTCTTGGTTGCATGTTCTTCTCATTTAGGACCCTGAATATATCCTGCCAGCCCTTTCTGGCCTGCCAGGTCTCTGTGGAGAGGTCTGCTGTTACCCTAATATTCCTCCCCATGAAAGTCAGGGACTTCTTGTCTCTTGCTGCTTTAAGGATCTTCTCTTTATCTTTGGAATTTGCAAGCTTCACTATTAGATGTCGAGGTGTTGAACGGTTTTTATTGATTTTAGGGGGGGATCTCTCTATTTCCTGGATCTGAATGCCTGTTTCCCTTCCCAGATTGGGAAAGTTTTCAGCTAGGATTTGTTCAAATACATATTCTGGCCCTCTGTCCCTTTCGGCGCCCTCGGGAACCCCAATTAAACGTAGGTTTTTCTTCCTTAGAGTGTCATTTATTTGCCTTAATCTGTCTTCATGGTTCTTTAATTGTTCATCAAGACAGTGTGGTACTGGCACAAAAACAGACATATAGATCAATGGAACAGAACAGAGAACCCAGAAGTGGACCCTGAACTTTATGGTCAACTAATATACGATAAAGGAGGAAAGACGATCCACTAGAAGAAAGACAGTCTCTTCAATAAATGGTGCTGGGAAAATTGGACATCCACATGCAGAAGAATGAAACTGGACCACTCTCTTGCAACATACACAAAGATAAACTCAAAATAGATGAAAGATCTAAATGTGAGACAAGATTCCATCAAAATCCCAGAGAAGAACTCAGGCAACACCCTTTTTGAACTTGGCCACAGTAACCGGAGAAGGACAAACAGTGTATGTTCTCATTCATTTGGGGAATATGAATAATAGCGAAAGGGAATATAAGGGAAGGGAGAATAAATGTGTGAGAAATATCAGAAAGGGAGACAAAACATAAAGACTTCTAACTCTGGGAAATGAACTAGGGGTGGTGGAGGGGGAGGAGGGTGGGGGGTGGGGGTGAATGGGTGACGGGCACTGAGGGGTACACTTGACGGGATGAGCACTGGGTGTTATTCTGTATGTTGGTAAATTGAACACCAATAAAAATTAATTTATAAAAAAAATATTTTGAATCACGTCTGAACCTCTCCTACTCCTCTTTGCTAAAGAGTTGGCAGAACCTGTTGAAACTACTTCCAGAATGTCCACCAGTGTCACCATCATAAACCTTTGAGAGACCTTCTATCTGGTCTTTTTCCAACATTTGTGCTCACCACTTCCCATAGTATGACTCCACTTACATACAGCCTTGAGTGCTAGCCCCGTGTGGCTCCCTAATGCTTATGGGATGAAGTTCACCTACCTAGCCTTGCTTACATTTTAGGTTCCTGAAATACACCCCTGTCCTACTTTTCCAACCTCACTCCCTCTCTTCTCTTCTACCCTTTCACATACTTCTTGACTTAAACTGATCTATTCATTGCTCTGTGTACATTTCCCAGGCTTTTCTGACTTTGTGCCTTTGCTGAGATAGAAATCCATTGTCCCTACCCTACACAGCCTGGTCCTGATAATTTTCAAGGCTCAGGGAATGTGACTAACACCTCTGTGAAGATTTCTAATATCCCCAAGTGAAGTTCATCTTCTCCTCCTTTGAATTTCTATACTACCTTATTTTTCACTTCTATTGTGGAACTTTATCTTGCACTTTGTAGTATCTAGTTACATATCAAATAAACCCATTACTTGACTGTGAATTCCTTGAGAGTAGGAATCACTTCCGATTCATCACTGTAGTCTTCCAGAGTGCCAAGCACACTGCCTTAGACATAGTGGATCCTCAAAAAAACACTCATAGATTGAAATCGTTTTTTAAAATAAAATTCTAGTCATTTTTTTTTTCTCCGCAAATCCTTACAAAGAACCAAAAACTGAATCCAGGGCATGTTTACAGGTTATCTGGTTAATACATTGACACTAAAGGACAATGGACAGTTCTTGGATGGCTCTGTTTTATTTTTGTATTTTGGTAGGCTTAAGTTAGAGTCAGTGTCCCCTAAGAGCTACAAACAAAAAAATAGTTATTAAATTGATTGTTATATCAATTTAATTGATATAGTTATATCAATTATATCTTGATTTCTCCAACAAAACAAAAATCCACTGAAAGTGAGGTTTACTTAAGATGTTAAAACAATTGTCCATCTTTGGAGGCAGATAATCTGGGACACAAAAAAGTAAGAAAGAGCTTCTATGCACTAGTGACATAAAGCTCAGGACTTTCCAAGTGTTCATGTTTCTACTGACCCTGGCTAATAAGAATTACCATCAATTTGATATAATTGGAATCATTTAATCTCTATTGCAGAAAAAACCATTCTCCCTTTGGCTTAGGATATCATTGAGAATAACTAAGTGGCTACTCACAGCAAGTAATGTAATATAAAATTTATATTCAAGGAAATAGGAAATTGTTTTTCATTTATTAGCTCATTCATCACATCCTTTCACAAAATTAAATTGGCATCTAGCCTAGACAATGGTCAAAATGCACTGGTATTTAAATGTTTTGCTTTGCCATTTACATGGCTTTTCTTTACTTAAAAATTTTAAATAGATTTCAATACAATCTTTTTTTAATAAACTTTAATAATATGGGCATCCATTCAAGAGACTATATATTGTGCACCAGGCATCATACTAGCTCTACTCTCAGCCTCTTATAGTCCACAATGGTAGAAAACAAGGACAAACAAGCACAAAAATGCACTTGAGCTTTGGGAGAACTCAAGAGGGTACTAGTATATTCAACAGTGAGAATACTGCTAACTGGAGTAATCAGAGAAGA